GCTAGCCTGCTGGTTTTACATCTACCTTCTGGCTCTTGCAGTTTTGCTGTGCCAATACAGGTCTAAGTATTTGGCCCATTCTGGCCTTCCCCACAGGGCACTGGGGAGCAGGTCTGGAATCCCTCACTCTGTTCAGGCTATGGGGTTGTATCATACAACTTTCCCAATGCCTCTGGCACTGCAGGAGTGGATGTGGGAGTCAGAAGGAAAGGAATAAAGGGCTCTCGAGCTTCACCAGTCAGTGCAAGGTGGGGCATCCCTTTTGGGAACCACGGGCAGGCAGTTCTGTGGCTCCTTCTGAGGCATGCTTAGACTCAAGACTGGCATGAAAAGTGGTCCCAGAATGTGTTGCTGATTCATTTTTGCAGCTTTCTTCAGGTAAGCTTTCGTTTTTTCTGCAGCTGCAGCGTGATAAGAACCTGGGTAAGCATTAATTCCCTCTGCTGCTGTGCATTAGTAAGCAGGGGCTGCATCCCCATTCTGAAATATATGTGCTTTAATGAATGAAGTTACATTTATACATAAACTGAAAAAAGTATAAGTGAGTATATCTTACACAAATGACAACTAATTTTTGGTAAATTAAACATGTGTGTGCTGCTGGTAGGGTATTAACACAGATGCTCCAGCCTCAAAGGGGAAAAAAAAACCCCCAAAAAACCCCAAAACATGCAGAAATGAGGTATGAAGGATAATCTGGGGTGTTTTTTGGGGTTTTTTAGAAGGTTGAATATTTATCATGAGAATTGGATCTATAGTGGGATTTGTGTGGTAGAGTAAGAGTTAGATATTGCCTGCAAAAACCCATGCAGCTGGGTTGTTTGTCGATGTATCTTTGTAAGAAATCTTTAAAATAAGGAACCTATCTACCAGAAAGTCTTTTTATGTTTCTTTGTATGGAATTGTCATGAAGCTTTGACTCTAGATAAGGGAATTATAATGAAATAAAGGAAACATTGTTTAGTTGTCAAAACGAATTTGAAGTGTGACATGTGTGGGAAGAAAGAAACCACAGAAAATTGGATATTGGCTCCTTGAAATTTACGTATGTAATGTGATGACTGAATTGTCTCAAAGAATCTAACCCTTTATGGTTGGTGGAATCAACTCTTTTATTGACCTTTCCGTTTTTAAGTTTTAAAGACTATTAATATTAATGACACATAAACAAATACGGCAGAAAAAAAGAGCTTAAGAGGCATTTCTTTGTAATTAACTTGATATTCTGCTTTTGTCAAGGTTTATTATCGTTCTTGCTCAAATTTACTAGTAAGTGAAACCATCTCTTTCATTCTAAACAAAATATTGGGTTTACTTAGATGACTAAGATTCCCTTTTATACAAATAAGAACCAGTCACACACCCTGTCTGTGAATAAGCAATCAAATATTTTGGTGTGACAATATCTAATGACATTCTGCTAATTACTAATCAATAACCTTCACAAGTATGTAATGTTCAAGTATAAAGGAACATACAGAAAGATATTCTCTGTCGCTTAGACACAGATTTATATATAAAAAGAATCAAATGATGAATGAGCATGTTTTAAAATACAGGTACAAATTTAAGGCGTTGTGCTTATCTTCTAATAGCCAAGAATTTGCATAATCAGGATCATATCAGCTTCACAAGAAATTAATTAGAATGGTATCAACTTCAGAGGAAATGTATGGAATCCTGATGTCAGCTTTGACAGCTGTAGAAGGGGGAACTACCTCAATCTTTTGGTTTTGATGTGCCTTTATAGAGAATACAAGAGTATGCAATAATGACAGTGAAAATGAGCTTCTGCAAGACAACTTGTTCTCTCAGTAATCTTGTTCAGTTCTGTATAAGATATCAGTAAATTTTTAAGTTTCTTTCAAATTCTCTAAGGCCTTTATAAAATGCTTCAGGAATATGCACATATGTTTATGTTGACAAGGCTGAGAATCTGAAGTGAGGTGGATGAGGGTCGGTGTGGTGATAGACATAGCACTGTATGGCCGAAGCAAATATAATTTGATGATTTTTTTGCTGTTTTATGTTCAAAAATTACACTTGAAAACTAGGATCAGCATTATGTTCCTTCACAGATGGTAGTCAGAAGTAAAATTTTCCTTTTCCAAATGGGTTCACGGGGAAAATTTACTAATACCAAGTGATCACTATGTGGGGGGGGAGGCCTGACTAGTTGGCAGTAGGCAATGTGTCACCAGTTAGATGCTGCAGGAAGCTGGTGGTGACTGAAGTAGTCATTCTCTGAGAGCTGACAGTCGTGTAAACCAAGTTCATGCTTCGTTCAACTCTTACTTGACAAATGCCTCGAATTCCAGACTCTGCTGTGGTGGTTGTCACCCACCGAAATGCCTCTCTCAGTAATCTTGCCCTGAAATTCAAGACTGAGCGAATTACAGGGACTTAAATGTTCCTTTGCTGCTATACTTGTGGTGTCCCTACTCTCTACAACTGAAAGCACCCATATGGATTTATAAAGACTCGTGGAATTCGAGCTTTAGTTCTACTAGACTTGTGGTAGAGTCTCTCCCTTTATGCTTCTCTGTGTAATTTTTTTTCTCGTGCTTTCTTAATGTAGGCTTACTGGAGATGTTCATGAGACTCCATGGGTTTGCAGGAGCAGGACTCCAAGTGAGCTGTGGGCCAGACTGACAGAAGGATCTGCCTCCAGGCATGGTCTGAGGGAGAAAGGTCTTTCCCTCTGCTGTGCTTGCTCATGAAGGGAAATAATCTGCTGCCTCCTTAGTGATTATAGAACCCACCACACACACACACACATACCCCTTCTTCCTATACTAGGAGGTGACTGAAATGTTAAAGAAAAGCTTAAATTCATTTCTTTCAGCCAGCCCTATGCCTTATCTGCGTGAGGAAATGTGAAACGGCAGCTATAATCCCCTCTCTCCAGGTGTGCATTCACATGAAATGAAATGATGCCATGCAAGTGCATGGCCTCTGCGGGGCTACGGGGAAATCCAGGGGACAGGCCAGAAAAAAACCCAGGGCCCTTGCAGAAATAACGGAGAACTTACCCTAATACTGTGGGAAATGTTTCAGCAGCAGCAATGTTTGTATTTAAACAGCAGTTTACAAAGTCAGTTCGGCAAATCAAAACTCTAGTGAAAGGAAGGGTTTAGTAAACATCCCTTTTTTATCGGATGTCTGATATTTTGAGATAATTAAAAATAATTTGGAAGAGAACGTGTTACCAGTGAGCGAAGCCTGTTCAGGAAGACCTGGCAGTGAGTCTCAGGGTGTGATTCCTAAAAAGCCCTTTCACACACCCCAGCTCTTTCCCCCTTCCTCTCCCTGTGCCTGGATGCAGCAGTGATTGCAGCACAGCCGAGGCAGGCAGGGCCCCGCTCCTGCTCTCTGTAAAAGCTAAAGTAGTTCCATGTACTTTAATTATGTCAATCCTGATTTACGGTGTCACAACTGAGCTTGTAATCTGGCTCTGAAATAATAAATTGATGCAGACTTGAGTGAAAAAAGGTCTTGTGTAAAATCGGGAAAATGCTTTTGTTAAAGGAGAACGGCGAGATTTTTGTTTTTCATTTCGGTTTGGTTTTTTGATCTCTGGTAAGAAATTGGGTTTTTTTGTCAGATCTATTTGTCACATCAGAGTCAAATGAGAAGAATATACAGTAAATAATATTTTGGGCTTTGTGGAACCAAGTGTGTTGTTTGTACCAGTGAAATGCTTGCCTTTTTCAACATGTCAGGCCACTTCTGATCCACTTGTGTTGGCATCATTATACTGGGGTAGGAAGTAGTCATTTATTTATTCCCTTTTGGCATCCATAGGATTTAGAGATGAGCCATTGCCCTTCTGGATACATAATCCAATTCTGATGCCTTTGTTTTTTCCAGTAAAACATCAATAATTTGATATGCTTCTATTGTCTAAAGCGGTTTTGTCTTGATGAAAGACATTTTAAGTGGGCAGTGTTTCAGAACAAAATTTCTCTTATGTAGCTTGTCATTACGTGTATAATACGTAGGTAAATCTTATCTGTTAAATTAATGAGAATGTGGGGACAAGGAAATATTTTTGATCAGCGGTAACCAAACTCTGAGAACAGGGAGGAAAAAAGATGTGCAAAGAGCTTCAAAATACAGCACGGCATTGTTTGCAAAAAGCCTGCTGTTTCCTTTATGTCTGACTGATCCGTGCCAGAAGCCCTCTTGAATTTCTACAAGAATAGAGCTTCAGATCATCTGCATTCAGTGCCAGAGTCATGGCCCTGGAACCGATAATTGCCTCTGACAGGATTTAATTACCTTCTCCAGGACCTTTTCTCTGTTTGATTGGAGACCACCCCCTGCCTCCGATCAAATCAGACAGTAATAACACGCCGTGGCGCCGGAGCCAATCCCGCGCGCGGCCGGCGCGGTGACCTTGCCGATCTGGCAGCGATTGGCGGCGTTGGGCCTTGGCGGTGGCCGTGGGCAGCCGTCACCGGCCACCGGAGAGCGGGGAGCGGCGTCAGTGCTAATGGAGTCTGTCAGCGTGCAGGGCCCCGGCTGCGCTCGGAGCGTGGTGGAGCAGCCGGGAGCCAGGGCTGCGGAGCTGCCACAAGGCCCCGAGGATGCCCAGGCCTGAGGCCTTCGCGGTGGCCGGTGGCCACTTGGCACCGGCCGACCAGGCCTTACCTGGGCAGTTTCAGGGGAAGTCTTCCCACGCTCTCCCTTGGAAGTAAGCAGGCTGAATTTCCCATGCTGAAGCCCACCAGTGTCTTGTTAGGTGGATGGAGAGCGTTGCTGCTTGGCATGCATCGTGCTGCTCCTCTTCGTAATATTAATGTGACACGTCCAATTACTATGTCCTCATATATCCTCACCATACCCTCATTTTTTTAAGAAAGGAAGCTGCATTCCTGTGGCTGTGGGCTTTTGGAGACCTAATGCTTTTGATGTGAAATAGCAGCAGGACTTGAGTGTTGTAGTTTTAAGCAAATTATTTTTTCATTCACAGAAATTAAGCAAAATCTTCTGCCTGCACCTGATGTACCAGCTGGATGTCTTGGTGGCGTTACTGCTCTTAGAGTTTAACTGGCCGGGGTCCAACCATAAGGTGTATGGAGCAGCCAGGAGTCAACAGATAGTCTTTGTTTTGAACAAAACAGGTTGTTTTGGTTCAAAGTTATATGGTCTTGGTGCAGGTAAAGGGCTTGTCCCTGCTCCGGTGAAGCCAATGGCCACACTCCACGTGGAGTAGGGATGAGTCCAAGCTTATTCAGCTCTGTAACTGCTGCTTTATCTATTTTCACCTCGAAGGGAGACGCAAATGCCAGGTAGCGAAGCGGAGGGTGGGGGTGATTTGATGTCATGGTAACTTCTCCGACTCTCTGCACAGCTGTACACACAGCCCAGCGCTGCTGCAGGCAGTGCCTCTCCCTCCCAGCACCTCCGGCAGCAGCGGGGGTGCCGATGCCGTTCTTTCCACTGACACGAGCAGCAGGTACCCTGGTGAGTGCCTTGTCACAGTGTTGCCCATTCCAGCTTGAAAGGCCTACCAGGACAAACAGGGAAAAGGCTCCCAAGCAGCGGTGCAGAAGCAGTGGTACTCAAAGAAGCAGAAGCACAGGAGTATGGGGGAGCTCGTTCACTTCTGTGTTCCATAATCTACCCCTCTGTGCAAACGCCCTGTCTTCATTTCGCCAGTTACCCCGTTGTACCCCTTTCCTAAGCTGCCATATAACTGAGCATCCAAGATGTTTCCATATGCTCTAAACAGGAATAACTGAGATGTAAGGTTCTCCTATCTGAAGGCTAATAAACTTCAATAGGATAGCACTGTTCGGTGAAAATAAGTAAATAAGTTGTGCTTCTACAAGGCAGCAGATAACGATGTGTGTGTGACCGGTCTAACCAAAGGCCAGTTTAGTTGAGAGTTATTTCAGCCTTCTGTGGATGGTGTAGCAACACAGCAGTCTCTGAGGTAAAAGACATTAGAAAGAAAAAGGTGGATGTGTGACTTTTTTCAAATTTTCTTTCAAACCTCTGCTAGCATCCAGCAAAGCATGCAGACTGCTTCTATAGCCTGAGACACTGCACAAATGCTCCTAACTGTGGTGCCAAAGCTCTTCCCTCTTCTCCAAGCAAAGTACTGAAAGGATCAAATACACGGTGAACTGTTCTGAGCTCAGGTCCCCACAGAAACATGAAGGGAAAATCCACTAACCCTGACTCTGTAAAAGTTTTAATTTCCAGAATGGACAAAAACGCTGAATTTTTTTCTTTTTTCTACTAGTAACAGGATAAAACAGAGCAAGAGTGTGTGTGGGTGTTGGGGGAGGGCGGCTGGAATCTGAGGCAAGTAGCATTTTATTTTTTTTCATTTGCCCAGACAGATTCCACTGTGAACATGTAATGGTTTTCACTGAGGCACTGTGTTATTTTAAGGTAAATCTGCTGACTTCAGAATGCATAATCAGCTTCATGATCGTAATAAATTATATCACAGTCATCTCTGGTGGGAAAATGGAAGGAAATGCACAAAGCAAAGAGTGCCAGGACAGCTTGCTGGTTAGGATGCTAGCCTAGAAACCATTTCTTTCTTGCTTTTTTTAAGGAAATAATTTCAAAAGCATCTAGGTCAATTAAAAGCTCGCTCTGAAAGCATTGTAGGCACTCAGAATTTAAGTCTCTCCGAAAGATATTTTTGAAAACGTTGCTGCAGTTCGGTTCCACAGCTGTAAATTGGGAATTGCGGTACTTCTTGCAAAGGTGATGTGTGAATAAAATATATTTGAAAGAAACTGGAACAAAATAGAAGCTCTCTAAGGAACCTAGGCTAGGCAGACAGCCTGCACAGGCTGTGGTATTGAGAACATTTATTCACTAGCAGTCATGGCTCAGGCAGCTCGGGCATCTATCCCCCCTCCTGGCGGGTTGTTCCCAGCTCCTGCGTTTGCTGCCACAACTGTTTGCACAGCAGTACAGGGAACTTGATCAAGGAACAGATCCAGCTGGTAAAAGATAAAATATATGCTGACTACATGGCAACACAAACGCCTGTGCCAGCCAAAACACTGGTTGGCACGTGGGGCAGAAAGAAGCCTGGGAGAAAGGAGGATGGGAGATACTTAAGCAACCTGCTACCAAATACAAAATCCCAGGCTATTTTTATTTCTTCAGATACCTTAAATGTTAATCTAGAACAGTAAAGCTTTTGCTCCAGAGTGCAAAAAGGGTTGACCGTGGTCTGGTGTGACAACTTGAAGATTTTTGTCATTGATTTCTATACAATCAAAACTGGGTCTCTGATTTATATATTAAAAAACAGGAGTAAAATGAAACAAAATTTGTAGCCCATGAAATAGATGATTTAGGAGTCATACTGTCAAGTGTATATTTTATTTTTCTGAAGACTAATAGAAAACATACAAATGGAATACTGCCTTTAAAAAAAGAAGACGGCTATAATTTTTTATAACTTTTCCTAGAAGCTTGTATTCTATGTCTTTTCTAGTGTTATTTTTTAATGATCACTGCCTAATTCTGAGATAAATCATTGTTGCATTAGTCTTTTATATCTGAGATAAAGATACTCATACTTTAGGTTTGTCTTTCCAGGCTTCAGTGGCGGTATACTAAAGATGAATTTCATCTATTCCATGTGACACAGGTTGTTTAACAGGAAAATGTTTTTATTAGAAGAACTGGGTTAAGGGTCCATCTGGAACCAATTGAATTCTCTAATGGCCTAACCCTCTATTTCTAGAGGGAGAGAGGAGAAAAAAGCAGAGAGGAAATTCAGGCTAACAGTGTAGTTCTACAGTATGAATTTAAGAACTTTCCCCTCTGCTTCCCCCAGCCCTGTGTTCCTGTTCTCTTGCTGTAATTTGCCACGTCTTCAGCTTTGTACATACAGCTATTTCCATGACTTGCTGTAAATTATACTGTTCAAATAACTGCTGTTAAAAGTCATCATCAAAAAAGGATGGGGGAGCACTTAAATAGGGCAAATGAGGGAAGAGTAAATTGTGCTCTGAGAAAGGAAATGAATGTGGGTTTGAGGGAAGCCCAGGGCCTCCTCAAGCCATTGTCACTCGAGGCAGTCATCACTTGAGCCCATATGCCATATAATTACAGGCTCAGTCATAGACTTCAGTGATCACAGCCCTCTTTAGTCTACCAAAGTATCACTGCACCTCCCAGGACTGCATGCAAAGGCTTTATCAATATATGGAGTACTATAAAAATGGAATACTGCAGCCTGATTCAAAGTCCAGTGATGATCCCAGATATCTTTCTGTTATTCCAAGTGGCTTTTGCTGAGCTGAAAAAGAAAAAAACAAAACAAAATAACCGAAGCCAAAATGTTTGCAATAACATATCTTTAGAAAGGACTTCATGTCAAAAAGGCATTGAGGCAGCAATTTTCCTGATGTTATGTTGTTTATAAACCCAGAATTTAGCCTATTCTCATGTTCAGGCACAATGTTAAGCAATTTCTTTCTCATATGCAGACAGCCTGTAAAACAGCAAATGCTTGCTACTTGTCCACAACAAAAAGGGCTACAGTACATACATTAATATATGCCCTGGGATTCTCAATTTTTTTGGTTGCTGTGCTTCTTATCACTGTTTTTATCTCTGTTGTTTTAGCAGCATAAAATGTCTTTGTCCAAACCGCCTTAAAATTTTGTTAGTTAGTGACACAGAAAAAAATTCTCCCAAAAGAAAATACTTTTCCTCTTTCAAGTTGACCATCGCAAACATTTTATTTCTAAGTCATGCTGCATTATTAGCTCATATCAGGGGGGACTGATAGCAAAATGCAGTAAAAGAACATAATGTTGTTAATAGAAATAAACAACTGTGAAGTCTGAAGCTGTGAATTTTTTGTAGCTTGTGCTTCTTATCACCACATCTCCGGCAGAAACAGTATATATAGGGTATAGCATGGTTAGAGGGAATGAACATAAAAAGTGTTGATTGTAAAATATTGGTGAATGTATTCACGTATGTGTTTGGGGAGGAGATGACTGTGCAGTTCACTCCTAACCCCATCTGCCTAAGTGCGCTGCGCAGTTATTTGAAAAACCTTACAAGAAAGATAAAATCCTAAGTGCAAGGAGCCTAAAAATGCATCCATATTGAGAAACTGTAGCCAACTGATTATTCAACTGGCAAAATGGAAATTTCAAGTTGCATAGACAGCTAATTGTGGCCTGCCTATGGAATGACAGGTCTATAATTTTTAGTTTTGTGCACATTCAAAGCCAGTCACCTTGACACTTAACAGTCCATTATCTGCCGGCCACCGACCATATGATGATATTCAAAGAGTGACAGGTCTTTTCCATTACAGAATGATAAAATGCACTATGCTTTATTTGGATAAAGCTGTCTTCACAGACAGCGCAAACCAAGTGCTTATCTGATCCTTGCACACAACAATGACACTGGGACACCTTTTACTCCACAGGGTTAACCTGGGTGTTTTTTCTGTCACTGTTCTTTAGGGATAAAGGTGAGTGAAATGAGTGAAATTGGTAACCCCAGTATTGTTTTCTAAAATGACAGACAAGCTGGTGTTCATATCTATGATTTCTTTCAGTATTAAGTAAGACAGATTGGAGGAAGCATTGGGACAGAGGTCATGCAACTACATGATTCATAATCTAGGGAGAAATGTTTGGTTTTTTATAAAAGAGATTGTTGTGTTTTCAGCATGAATACAGAGCGAGGTCAAGAAACATGTCCCAGGATACTTTCTATCAAATAACAAAAAAACAACAAGCCACCACAAATCAGACTGAGACCTGGCATTTGATTCAAACTTAGACAAGGGGCTGGATGCAGCCAGAGACTCTGCTGCACCTTCCCTGGATGTGGTAAATGTGTCTGTGGCTCTGTCCCTGGCCTGCAGAAAGAGGCTGAGACTTGGGGACTATTTCTCTCTGTAGGAAAAACACAGTTTGAGGAGCAGACAGTGCTTGGAGGCTGTTCTTCTGGTTAGGGTGTTTCCAGCCCCAGCATCTCTTCCCTGTATAATCCAGGGAGGGCAGGGAAGCGGTGCTTCTGAACAAAACCTCCAGCCACAGTGGACAGAGGGAGTCTCTT